AAGAGTTCACCAGATCCTCCGATTTAAAGAAGATTTGAATGTACAGAAGATTACGCCACCAATATTTTTTGCACGGTTCGATGTCAGTTGGAACCATCGGACCTCGTGTGTAGTAAGGATACAGCACTACATAAAAACCCAAAAATAACCAGTAAGGTGGACTTAGCCTAAATATTAAGCATTTGTTGAATGACTAAGGAGTTCAAATAAATACTTTAAAATATGGCATTTATTAGTTTTTGCAGCAGAAGATGCATGTGTCTGTTAAGCACACTCAATAATTTTTTTTAATTTTTTTCAACCACTGCTCTATTGCCATTTTTTTGGCCGCTGGCTCTCACCTGAGTATTCTGTGAACGTAGTATAATGTCCAGTACACGGGACTTTTCAAACTTCTTGGATGTCTCTCCATTTCCTTGTAAAATAAATATGCCGATAATACACCAGTGATGAAGAAGAATGTGTCTACAGACGGGAAGCCATTGAAGACGGCGTCATTCAAAATATACTTCGCAGAACTTAATAATCCGGTCGGGTTATCTGCAGTGAAGAATAGCAACGTTGGCAACAAATCTTAATCTACGTAAGGTATGAGAATTATATAAGAAGAAATTAATTAACCTCCATAAGCGTATTTGGTAATTACATGAGCAACTAATACCCACGTCATAGAAACAGTTCTCAGACAGTGAATACAATCTATCTGTCCGGGTCGTTTCACTGTACTTAAGATTTCAGCTCCATTGGTGTACATTGAAAAAGTTAGTAGCACTGGGATGCCTGAAAATCCGAAAAATATCTTAACTTTCAACAACTTTTAAAGCTGTATCATGAAAGTATCTAAAATGTTTTGATTCTGTTGTTATAAGATAGTTGTAAGCGCTGAACATGTTTTGTACAGAATAGGATTATTTAAAAAGGTATTCCGAGGAGACTAGAGGGGAAGGTCGGCTATGAGAAAAAGACAGTTGTTTTGCTGCAGGGATTCCAATGTTAAACTTAATGAGGTAAACAAAGAATTTGTTGTGAAATTCCTATCTGAAACGTAAGTCGCTCAAGAGTTTTCAACAAAATTTTTTAGGTTATAAAAAAGATGGTGATAATTGAATGCATAATTGGTCACGATTAGTCTTTAAAGGCACATTTTTTAAGACTCGAACGCTAGGTGGCCAGGTTAAATGTATCGTTATAAAAATCTGGTTCTAACAGGTACTTAATAGTTGGAGCTGCTTCAAATGAGTAAACCAGAAATTCCTAGATAGGAAATGAGTGTTTTCCTTTATTATACGCGCTTCTCTTTTCTAACCGTTTGAAGCCAATATGGTATTTCCCATTGTGGTATATCATTAAGAATATTCGCAATTTTCATTGAAGAGTAGCGAATGTGCCACCTGCGATAGCGAACAGAGTGTACATTGTAAAACACAGCTTGAAAAAGCTGTCTCTTTTAGTATTTGACATAGAACTAGAAATACAGTATCAACTACTGGGAACTTTTTGTTACATAGTTCACTGTAGTAGTTTTGTAATACCCATCTGACAAAAAATTGTATTTTTGACTGCAAAAAATATATTTGTCTTTCCCCGTCTTATCCTACCTTTCTCTTCCCTATTTTTTTTTGTCTCTTTGTTTACTTTTGAACGATGTTCATCTAAATTTTTTTTACAGAAGAAGGAAAAACCTTTTTTTATTGAGAAACCAAGGCTCACCAATTGGCTTTTGAAACTTGGTATCTGAACTAGGTATAAAAGTTGCTTTATAAGATCATTCTTAAGTCGTTCTAACTTCTACAGATAAATTCTGACTGGTTTCTTAGTCACAGATGGCGATTATTTGGAAGGTACTTGTTTACAAAGACGGTTACCGAAGATGAAGAGAAAAAATGGTCCTAATTTTGAAGTAGACTGTAATAACAACTTGTATGTTTAAATTACCTGGTTTAGATCTCCAATGTGAATAGTCAATACGAGAACCTTCTTCAGTTAAATAGTCTACTATTGATGCAACAACAACAATAAAACCTGCTACTGCGCAATACATTCTAGAAAAAAAAAAACGAGTTTTAAGGCGTTTCAAAACTTATTTAAACGTCACTGAGCATTAGAGGTACGTGGAAAACGACGAAAAAGGTATGAGAATTTATTATATTAAAAATACGAATCTAATTAAAAAACATTTGTGTGCTAAGGGATTTATAATAATCGAAGAAATGGTTATGCTGACAGCTGCTAAGTGTCGATTTTCAAGTAGTACTAAGTTAATACGACTACTAAATCTAATTGTATCTTCAGTAAATGTGATTGCTGCTAAAGGCTAATTGAAATCAACTGCAATCGTATTCTCTAAAAAAAATCTCAGAACGATTATGTTATGCAATAGATTTGTACCACAATTATATCAAGATTTGCTGGTTTTTTTCTCAAACGCGTAACAGGTATCTAACAAAATGATTTTTTGATTATTTTCTGAGTATTTTTTGGCGACAGCCGTCAATGTTTTTTTGTCAAACAAAGAAAATTTCTATTTTTTTTAATTTTTCAAATTTTTAATGGTTTCTCAAATTTCGATTTTGTTCACTTGTAGCTATTTCCTCTCATTAATTGACAGTGACATCAATCTCTAAGCAGCTCTTTAATTTTTTTTCGGTAAGTAAGTGCTAAATCAACTTTTTAGTAATAGAAACACAAAAGAATTAGAATTTTTCTTACACCACTATCCAAAACCAAGCATTTTTTTTTGGTGGATCTGGTGACCGACAAGTTGCGCTGCAGAACTTTAAGACTGGAACCTGTATCGTCTCCACATAAGCTGTCAAGTCCTGGACAAACATGGTCAATTAATCTTGTTGTTATTACTTTATTCTGTTTATACAGTATAAAAGTATACTAAAGATAAAAGAAACAAATTGCAGCATAAAAGCAGAGGGATATTCAGTTTATTTACAACGCTGACCTGTTCTTTACAAGTTCTTGGCACGCAGGCACTATATCGAGCTGTCGCTTGTGATGAGCATTCAGATAATAATGGCTAAACAAGGAAATATCACTGATTACAGATGCTGTATGATGAAAAAAAGTGTCTGAGAATCAAAAAATAACAAGAACTGCACAAGGTTAGTCTATTCAGCGTAATTGGTATAAGTTACATTTGTAGGCATGAAAATTTTGATTGTACCTAAAAAAACGTCAAATGTTAACTTTTTTGCTTACATTTTTTTCTCCAGTGATCAGTGTTGTATCAATTGCCATATTTATCCAACAAAACTGCGTAGTATAATTTTTGTAGGGACTTTCAACACTTGAGCATTCTTCATATGAACCTTGCCATACAATAGGAAGATTCATTAAACCGCTTGGTATTTTTGCAAATGCATCAAATTCTGCAGAAACTATATTTCAGTCCAAAGAGAGCGTAAATAAATGAACTTAGTTTTGCTTTTATAATACTCTATAACCTTCAAAAATTTTTTACTCTAAAACTTAACAACGTTTTTTTGTTTTAGCTGTTGAGCTAAAGTGTCAAAAGTTATGTGACAATAAAACTATAGGTAACTAACGGGCAGTTATCTAAAAACGGTTATTTGTATTTGTAATCATTGATTTAATGAGAAAAAAAAACAAAAACAAAAACAAAAACAAAAACAAAATAATTCTTATTTTCTGTAACCATTATGTTGGCTTAATTTAGGTGGTTTATCAGAGTTTCTCAAAAAAAAAAAAAAAAAAAAAAA